CCCCAAAACCCCAAAACCCCAAAACCCCTATTATTCTAAAATTATTGAAATTAATATCAAAAAAGATGAAAAAATTTGCACAAAGAAGCGCACGCCCTTCTGCAGCCTCTACTTTTGTTAAAAGAAATAGTCCAAATAGAGTCAGAAATCGAGACCGTTTGAAAGAGTTTCAATTGGATTTAAAACGAGTGCAATATGCTTTACCAAATATTAGCAAAACTACTTTGAAAAATACTCAAAGGCGAAAGTATAACCCTGCTAATTTTGTCAAGAATCTTGAGAGAAAGTTCCCTCAGACCATTATTGCAAAGGACATCAAGGATAAACTATACAAGCCTAGAAGAAGAACCAATAATGGGTGTAATTCTCCAACTTCGGTAACTTTAAGACCACATGTTGGGCTAATAAAGGTAAAAGCAAGGTTCTCTGATGAAGTTTCTCTCAAATTATCGATTTATATAAACCTTAGATATTAATCCCAAAAAGGCTTTAATTAAGCTTGTTATAATTCTTCTAGTTATGTTAATAAAACATCGCCTATAAGCCACTAGGGTATGCTTCCCTGACTAAACCATAGAGCTAGTCCTATTTCAGGAAATATGAACTTCAACAAGCTAGCTTAAAAATTCACGTCTTGAGGAATAGAATTGTTATTGATATACAAGACAAATAAGAAATGAGACCTACATTTATCGATAGGCTTCATAATCCTATGATTGATCTCACTCATCCATCCCTTGTTCGTACAATAATTGGTCTGAACAATTATGATAAGGTTTCATAAGTAATTTATTAGGTGAAGTTTTCATAACTGCGTTCTAGAAATAGGCCAGAAGTCTGAAGATATCAGTGCATGGATGTTTCAGTGAATATGCTTGTTGATTGTTAGATTTCATTAGTTTGAAGCTCTAAAAGCTGAAATAAAGTATCATTATTAATGTATCTTTTATATCTAGATAAAATAAACCACTAAATTTCTTTGCCAAACTCTAAATATTAAGAAAGGCTAGAGTTAATGTTTCTCTGGCTCTATTTATTGTAGTGATTGTATAAAATGGTGGACTTGAGCTGCCAGTTAACCACAAAATTATCTTCCTTTCAGTTATTCCTAACCCTCTGTTCTTTTCAAGATTATACAGATTTTATACGCGATGTAGCTAGTCTCAAATTGTAAATTACACTCTTTTTATATATAATGTTTATGGTAAGAGCTAAAACTTGAAATCAGTTAATATAAATAGACTTTTCTTTGAAGAATTCATTCGCATGTTTTTAAAAACTAGCATTAAGAGTTACTCTTTACAAGTTATGATATATAATAGCAGAAATGGCATTAAGACTAATAGAGTATTTACCTATTTCTGTATAATGACTGGTTCAGTAGAGAGGGCCTAATTTTGGAAAATTCAATGACTTCTTAATTAGCAGTAAACCGTGGCGCAAGTAGTGGGCATATCGTTGAGCTAATTTTTTAATATTTGCTATGTTCTCAAAACTATTACCCAAATCGTTCCAAATTTTTAGCTAAATACTAAATTTCAGATTCAAAAGGCCTCAGCCTAACTCTTAGTGTGTAAGGTATCTGGTACTTAAAATTTTGTTTTTCGTGCTCACCGAGATCCCATATCAGCAATTACGTTTTTGAATAGAAAATTAGTATTAAAGTATTAAAACCCAATATGAACAAAATTTGTTTGGGAAAGATATGATATTATAATATTTTTGACTCTCTCAACAGGATATGTCTGTCATGAATTTTACGACCCTGACTTGCTTTATTAGCATAACCAGAATTCCCAAATGTTTATGATACTAATAGAGTCTTTAAGTTAAGAATATTAAAATCCGATAGACCAAATCATGCTTGCTTTAAAAGATGTTCTAAGGTATAATAAATTATGAATATTTCCAAAATTTCCTGCTGTTCATTTATATTAACAAATATAACTAATAAAGCAATCTTAAATCAAAAATTGGTCACTAGTCTGCCACTTATGCATCTATGGGTAAACCATCATTCCAGTGCAAGGATTTTGGGTCCGGCAAATTAGTTGGAATCTGAAAAAATTAGCTCAATAGATTCATAATACATACCACCAAGTTCTGCCAAGTATAAATAATTTCTACTTTTAAGGATCTCAAGTTGGATTTCAAAACAGATTTGGATATTTAGGCTACAAATTTGTGAATATTCCGAAATATGAAAGTTTCATATTTCGGAGAGGGGTTGAGCAGCCAACTTGATTTACTCAGGAATTAGAAATAAATCAGCTTACTTTTAGAGCTGATTTACTCAGAATTTATTCTAAATTCACTGCTAACTGGTGTTATAGAAGAATAGTCCGACTAAGCCAAAGGTCAAACCAAGACCTTCCACTAGATTTGTGAGTCCGGATGTGACACGAAATGGTAAGATGGAGCAGAGATCCTACTTTCTTAAATTTATGAGAAATATCACCTTATTTGTCTGAGTTTATATGAATAGACAGATGATTTTTGATGAAAAATCCAAACCGTTCTCTGAAATATTCTGATTGGAACTAGTTATTTTATCATTATATTTAGAAGGCAGCTGCTTAATGATGGATAATAACGATTTCAATATTTCAAACACGGCAAAGAAGAATAGAAAGAACTTCAATCTTACTGTAAGTGCTATATTAGAACTTCATATTTTGTCAAATAATTAAGATTTATTTATTTTAATTCTGGAATTTAGAATCTCCAGTTGCTCTAAAGAAGAACTTCAAAAAGAAGAGCATCTTGAAAAAGGCTTTAATGCAGCATTCTCCTGGACTATTTATCAATACTAAGAATGCTCTCATTATGAAAAAACAGAAAATGCGCCAGAAAAACGCTTCAAACTACAGAATTTGCTCTCCAGGCCAAGAGAAACAGCCACTTTTAGGAGTAATTTTTCTTCATAATCCTTTTAGATGAAACTGTTCTATGATTACAAATCTCCGAAAAACAGGAAGACTCATCCAATGCTTTCTGAAGAAAGATACACGAAAAAGAGAGAGCATAAATATAGGTAGGAATATTACCACCGGGTTAAGAACTTAGAATTCTTACCAAACCTGTCATACTTTTCAACCTAAATAGTAAATATACTGGTCTAAAACTTCCATAGTTAAATTCCCTCTGGCCGATATATGAATTTCCCCCCAAATTCTGGCCATAAATCATCAACCAAGAGTGGAGGAGACTCCCTGTTACATTTTAGACTCTAAATACTCGAATAAGCTTGAGGTCGCTTAAAGGTCCAAGTAAAAGGCAATTCAAAAAGATCATTTTTGGTTTAAACTCTTAATAAGGTTATGTAAGGTTCATCCAGCAGTGAAGTTAGCTGTGAAATGGCTATTTCGATCTCTAAAATTGTACATTTCGTTCATTCCTGAGAAATAGAAAGTATTTTCTTAGATTATTATAAATGAACTGAATATTTGAAAGTGCAATGGTCCTAGAAAACAGTCGGTTTTTGGAATAACCTTTGTTCACTGTCTTTTTGAGAAAGATTTTACATATAGAAAATAGTCAGAGTCTGAAAATTTGTAGGGATTCTTACACTCCAGATGGGTCTTTTGGGTCAGGATTTGGGAAATAACCTTACTTTTAAACAAAGGATAGCTTAATAGCAAAGACTTATGTCTAGGGCTGTATAATTGAGATGAAAAGACAAGAGAGACTTTACACTCTTGTCTTATTATAATTGATCAATCAATACTTCATTTCCATGATTCCTAAAAACTAGATTTAATCTAAAAAGTCTTCATAGTGATGATTCAGACCAGGAAGACCTTATTAAGACAACTGATGAAATAGGAGATCATCCAGATGCAGACCTTGCAGAATTTAAAAACGACTTGAAAAGGAAGAAAAAGAGAAAGAAGTACTCTATTTATTTCAACAATCTTTGCTCTAAGCCTTCGAGCGGTGATATAGCAAGAGTTATCTGTAGAGATAGAAGAGAGATTGATCAGAACGCTTGAACAGGTTTTAAGGATATGCCTGCTTTGGATAATGACATAAGACCAGCATCTAACACCAACAATCTACCACAATAAGGCAGTAGCATTGCGCCTCACCAGAGACAGGAAGAAATATTTAATTGGTCACTAAAAGTTCTAAATTAGAGATTCTCAAGACTTTATGCATACATTTCCCCTGGTATTTTAGGGTTGAAAGACCAAAAAATAATACTGTTCATTTTTAATCTATTTTAGGGTTTACAATAAGTTTTAACTCACTGGGGTTTTGGGGTTTTGGGGTTTTGGGGTTTTGGGG